ACGCAACAGCCTGAATGTCAGGGTGTGAGCTATCTGGGATGCTTGCGTTTTTTCTTTCGCGTTCCTGGTGACTTCCTGGAGTGCTACAGTACGTCGGTATCGTGGAAATGTGAGGCCCCGTGCGGTAGTCCTTCGCAGGGCTTCAGATAAAACATGATAAAACTCTATCCTATCAAGTGATGCCATGCAATTTCACGATTGCTTCCCGCAGGCCTCCTGCAGGGTGTGGGGGTGTCCTGGGTTGGAGACATGTCGAGAAGCTGTTTAGGAGGTTGGATGGAGCAGAAGTGGAAAGAAATGCTTATCAGATCCCCGTCTGCAGCTGCAAAAATAAGCTTTGACTTTGTATTCACACCAATCCAGCAGATCTACTGGATAAGACGGTTGACGCTGCGAGCTCAGCCGGTTTACGCTTCAGAGGACAGCCGGGTCTCAGGTTTTTTAAGATCTGATCAGAAATTTTGCCCTTTTTGTGGATGACATGTATAGCTCGAGCCTAGGGATCTTACCCGCACCGAAAATGATTTGCGTTTAAATTAGAACCCGAAGGAACGCGTACACGCCGGGGGGCTTGTCCAAGTGTGGTCGCTTGGCGGACCCTTTGCCATGATCGGCTCCCAGTCGGGCATTCAAAACAAAAGCAGAATGCCGACAGACCCCTCATCCCACCTTGTTCCCATGCAGTCTCGGCTTTTTGCCCTACATACCCTCGCATGGCATTAAAAGTGCCATGAATCTTGGCAGCTTTACCTGGGAACAGTCCAGACCTTGCATCATGCTTCGGCTGCGCGAGTGCTGAACCTCCGCAAAACAGGGAGCTATTGGGACCCGAAGAATATCTAAGGAGATATAATGAAGAGTATAAAGGTTCCCTCCCAGGATTATAGGGATGAGTCTGACAGCCCTGCTTAAACAACTTTCCACGGAATCCACCCACGTCCCTTGGCCTGCTTTTACGTTTGCAGAGGCCCAGAGGAGAAACAGTAGTGACTCTGCTCCTGACACAGGGCCGCCACTTAGCTGCGTTTGCGGTTTGGAGCTTCGGGGTTTTGAGGGTTTTGCCGTTGTAAGGGATTTAGGCTTTGAAGGTTCAGGGTGCAATTGGGCATCTAGGCTTTGGTGTACAGTTTCTGTCCGCGGTACGTGTCTCAATCGTGAGAAAGGACTTGCAAGACGTACTGACAAACAAGGTTTTGATGTAGAGCAGCGTTTTACATCTACACTGTTCTAAGACGCGATCTAGAAGACCCGCAGATTCTTCTGGTTCTGGAGGATTCAGGTCGATTTGCACATCAGGGATGTAAAGGATTTGACGCTTGCATGTGTCATACCTGGAGAACAGAAGAGCCATGATCACGTAGGCTTTGCCATGGTATGCTTTGGGTGTGTCTCGGCAGCTGCTTGTCAAGTACGAGATATGTTGCCCCCCGGCATCATGGATTACAGTGTCTTCATCAAGGATGCCGACCCGGTTCTACGACCTATACCCATTTTCATAGCTTTCCCAGACTCACCTGAGGGGTGCTTGCCACGCGCCCAGGTTCTCTTCGGTTGTCCGATGGTTTGCCGGACTGCCATTTTGAGACAGGGCTTCTTGTTTAAAGCCGAGTAACTAGAGCAGATTTGTTGAACAATTTCTCAAGGTTTGCATGGGCTGTGAAGTTCGTAGGGTTCGAATTGCTTGAAAAATCTTGGAAACCTTCATCGCATTTAAGTCTATTTGGCTGGTAGCAGTTGGTATGGACTGAAATCATGTGCTAGGTTATTGTGCATTTCTTTCGAGGCGCCCAAGGCTCCCCAGATGATACAGCACCTCAGGATTGCTTTTGAAACATGCAGCTTCAGCTGCGGAGTTGTTGAACATCAATCGAAGGCGTAGATTCCCTGGTGGAAAAGAAGTAGCACAGATGTTAAAACATCTAGCATTGTCATCATGATCTAGCCCAGGTCCAGCACGCGTCATCATGGCTCTCTCTTCTCTGGCGCCTTATACTAAGCAGTGTGCTCTATGACATGCGAGGAGGTCCCACGCGCAGAAAATTGCACCGCATGAAGCTTGCGATCTAGCCCTATGACGCCCTGTCCAAGTCTACGAGATTAGATAGATTTTCTGCCGATTTCTTGGTAGGAACACTCACAGCCTCTTTAGTGGGGCACTCCCTGGAGATACCATGAAGCAATATCCTGCCTCATGTTTTCGTTTTTTCTGCCTTACTTCCGCGCAGTTAGAAAAGAGCCCCTTGAGGCATGGCCTTTGTTTCAGTCAGCTGATGATCCTTGTTTTTCGCATGGGGCTCCGCTTGCCTTCAGCTGCATGGAGCGCTACTATCTTCATGTTCTGGTCCTCCCGCCACGATGCTGTTCTGGCTTTACAGATGCCGGAGCCTCATTTTAAACGCACTTGCCTGTTCGCAAGCCGGGGCCTGGGCATAAATCCCTAAAGCTTCCCTACCTCATCCCTGCAACACGCGCATGACCCCGCCCACTCTCCCCCAAACATTGCAAGCCATGAGCGCAGGAGAGCCTCAGCCTTGAGCGAGATTCACACGCATGCGATCTGGTCACCAGTCACAAGTTGGGCCGTGCAATTTAGGGTTTAGGGAAGCATGCTCAGAATGCGCTCTGCCAAGAGAACGCTGAGCTCCCCAAGGGCCAGCAACAGCTTAAGCCAGTCCACTAGAATCTACCAGATTGCAGTAGCCGAGCCCTTCTCCAGACTTGTGAAGATCAAGTCCACTCAAAGGAAGTGCATGGACGGCAGCTGAAGACTGTCATTTTCCCCCCTGCAAAGTTGGGGGCTGCATCCTAAAGTTGGGAACGTGCTCAGACATCAACGATTTGTTGATATGTGGAACTATTTGGTGACCAATTTTGGATGGAGGATTATTCTGTTTGAACGGCTGTAGGCTGTAGGCTGCAAGCATATTGCCACTAAGCAAGCTCTGCCCCGTACCTCGCTCTCATCTAGCTCAGCAAGCAGCACATAGTTTGTCTTGCAAAACCGCCAGATGTGAAGTCAGCCGGAGCACAAAAAGGACCGCCATCCAGCTTTAGCTCGGCCAGTTGGGACACATGAGCTATAATCTAAACTCCTAGTATCCCCCTTAATGCTAACCTATATAATTGTCCCCTACCTAACCCCCTCGAGGAGTTTAGACTATAGCTCACATGATGGAAGGGTTGTCTAGGAGCCCAGGTTGCTGCACGCTTTGCTGCGTGCTTTGTTCAACATATCACAAACTTACCTCAGAAACATTCAGTAGCCAGGGATGCCGGTGATTCTCTTCGGCTGTCTGTCTGCTGCTGGCATGAAGATATGCAGAATCCATGTTGTCCCTTCTTGTGTGGGTCTGTAAACGGCAGCCTGTCCTTGAGATGTGAGAGAGGGAGGGGAAGTGACAGAGAGAGAAAGAGAGAGAGATGTGCGCGAGAGAGTATGACGTCAATTAGAAATTTGGCATGTGTGGACACTGCGAAGCTAGCGGAGCCTGTTTCAGGCTTCTTCCGTGGAAGCATGAGGCGTAGTGGTACCATTCCGAACAGCCAGGCAGAAGCCCGGCCAAGCGGGACGCGTGGTAGACGGCTGTAAGACAGAGGAGTGGGGAGGAAACAGAAAAAGGTGGCTGGGGGGCGGGTTCGCTGAAACGCGTCGGCGAGACATGCAGCCACACTATCCGTGAGGGGCACGAAGTGCAACGACACTCCGATAAGCTAAGCATGCATGCTGTCACATACATTCTCAGTTGCTGAGACTGTTGCAAATATTAAAGAAGGGATACAGCGAGTCCAGACGACGCCAAGCAACCTGCTCGGTAAGCTCTGATAAGCTAAGCATCCATGCTGTCACATACATTCTTAGTTGCTGAGAGTGTTGCAAATATTAAAGAAGGAATACAGCGAGTCCCCACGACGCCAAGCAACCTGCTCGGTAAGTTGAGTCTGCTTGCAACGGTACCCTGTGCTCGGAAGGTCAGGGGGCTTAGTAAGTGGGTTACTAAGAACAATGATAGGAATAATTGGGGTTATTGTGTGGCTTATAGGGGTTATCAGTATACTGTATACTTTCTAAGTCCCCCTGACCCCCCAAGCAAGCGATGCCAGGGAGTTTCGCAGACTTACTTGACGCGGCAGGCCTGGACCTTGCAGACGAGGCGGCTTATTAGGGGTATATATTGGGCTATACAGGGAGAATATTGGGATAATCTTGAGGTAATATTGGGGTTATATAGGAAGAATGGAAAAGAAGCTGGATCTGTGGAAGTAACTTGGACTGGTGGCTGAGGTCTAAAGATTCGCATGGGGTGCCCAAGCGGGAGTGCGAGAGGATAAGATATTGAAAGATATTGCCTCCCGAAACCTAGTCTAGCCCGAGAGCAACCTTTGCATGCAATCACTCCAAGAAAAGGATTCTTCCTACAGGTCTTTGCGCCGTCGCCTGTTCTCTATACCCGCGGTCCTTCCAGCTGGTGCAAGCTTAGGTATGATTGATTCCCACTCACAACCTGGTCATTCTTTTACTGCCTACCTCCTGGTAGTTTCCAAAAGTCGTCGCCCGCCATGTGCACCCAAATCAGTTTAGACAACAACATCCGACAGCAGCGACTCCTAATTTTTGACAGCCCCCGCCCCTGACCTGGCCTCGTCAATCTTCTCATAATTTCCATGTGTCCCTGCAGTTACTGGGGTTGTTTAATTTTTAAACTCCCATATTTGTAAATATACCCAGGCAAAAACTGTTATTTGTGACTTCGAGGTGGAGCCTCCCCCAGAGGATGCTTCGCAGCTTTGGCATCACTGGGGTGGCGGAGGCCCGACATCAACAAGTTGGGGCTGGGGTGGGTGATGGTCACTATACTGTTGAGAGGACTTGACTGAGTACAAGAGCCAGCTTATCGCACTTCACACCCTCTCCAAATGATGTCTGCTCATGCATTTTTGCTTCAAATGTCAAGGACAGGCGAGGGTCTTACGCTTATACACGCTTGCGAGGCAACACTGGCATGTCTGGACAGCTAACCAACAACCCAGAGCACGTGCCAATGGCGGACAAGGTGTGATTTGCGGTGCTTTGCAGGCTAACGCAGCGTAATTTGTGGCCAGTCTAAGCAGTGACAAGAAGAGAAAAACATGGAGAGGTAGACTTTTGCAGAAGTACTAGCAACAGTATCAGTGGTAGTTGTCGTGGTGGTGGTGGTAGCGGTGGTAGTTGTAGAAGTAGTAGTAGATTAGTAGAATAGTAGAATAGTAGCAGTAGCAGTAGCAGAAGCAGAAGCAGAAGCAGCAGCAGCAGCAGCAGCAGCAGCAGCAGCAGCAGCTGCAGCAGCTGCAGCAGCAGCAGTGGTGGTGGCAGTGGCAGTGGCAGTAGCAGTAGCAGTAGCAGTAGCAATAGCAGCAGTAGCAGAAGCAGTAGCAGCTGCAGCAGTGGCAGCAGCAGCGTTCATCACTTTCAGGTTCTACATCTGATAGGAAGTTCTGGTGTGGATTTACGTCCGCTTAGTGCTGCTGCCCGCTATAGTCAAGTCCTTCGTGTAAAGGGCTCGATGTTACGCCCATGTCTGGGTCATTGCGCCCACAGTCACATGCGTCAATAACCTTTCCTTGTGATGCAAGAGATACTACTAATGATGGTGGTTGGCTTTCTGATGACTACTGGTCATCGCTTGCTGTGTAGCAGACTGGATAATTCATGGTGTCTTGTGTAAAGGCATGCGAGATGGGGATCTCCAAGCAGCTTGCAGGAGACCTCTGTCTTCCAATTTGCCCACAAAGATACCTCGGTCTCGGCCGCTCAGCTGCTGCGATGGATCAGTGTCAAGGTCATGGGTGTGAGCTGTATTGTGGGTGCTCGTACGGTGACTTCGCAGCGCACATGGTATTCAACATAAGGTCCCTAGTGTTGCCATACACCGATGCACAGGGCTCAATGTGTAACAGAACCGCCTAGCCCTGGCGATGGTTAAGTACTTTGCCGCATACCTAATCAGATTTGCAAGTAAATTCTGCATATAGCTCCCCATATTTCTGGACTTTTCCCATTATTACCCCACACAGGCTACAAGACAAGAGTCCCTAGATGATCACAATTACCTCTGAGGTGTCACAGCGGCGCAAGTCTCTTGAGACAGAGGATCCGCTGGCAACAGATCACACAGGGGACATAGCCATTGTCTCAGAAGTGATAGATAACTTTTGAGCGGTTGGTACTAGCTTACAGGGGCTCTATAGGCAAGCATGTAGTTGTCTGGCTGGCGGTCGCGATTTTCTTTGGAGTCTCTTGTCTGGTTTCCCAGCGTTGGAAGTCCAGGCTCTGCAACTTTGCAACAGAGATAGTAATAATTAACAATTGCAATACTTATCACAGTAATGATAATAGTGATAATAATAACAATAATTATGTATAGGGTTACAGCTGAAGGCTCCTACCATATAAGCTGTCATTAAAGATCGGAGCCGAGCTCACTTCACGAGAACAAAACTGGTAGTTTCCCAATAGGGGTACCCCAGTACTGACCCCAAATATTTTTTATAATCCTCATAATTGGGACCCCCAGAATGGTACCCCTAATTTGGGGAAACCCAACTCCCCAGAAATGAATGATTCGACTGCACTGGAATAAGATTAGTACAAGGTGTAAAAACACATTCTGGGGGAGGGGTCGGGAACCTTGGTTGTCCGGGGTTGCGCGTGTTTAGGGTTTAGGGCTTAGGCTTAGGAGCCTTCACCCCATTTTACCCCAAGACCCTTCATTCACCCTGATGTGTCTCGGTTGGGTCTTGCATTGCGTGATGGGTGGCTGGCTGGGGCTTATTGTGGGTATGCTGGGACAAGTTCGCTAGTGGTAGTATCCAAAATCGGCTCCTAGGGTAGCAAGTCCACGTGGCAATCTGTACATTTCTCATCAATCAAATACCCAGGAGGGCATAGAAAGCCTCAGCCCCTGATGTGTGTCGCTGAAAAAAGTATCGCGAGGAAGTGAACTCTGCTTAGACTATCTGTGTCATTCTCGGCATCCCGTCAGAAACCATCAGGCATGTCAATAAGTTTGGTCCTAGGGGGCGTTGGGGAAGGGTTCTGCTCTCTTTGACCAGGTCTGGCCCACGGCAGTTGCTTTCTGCAGGTATCTGTGCAGCCTGGCTGAAGATGTGTTGGTACCCATGCATTGAATGAAGCTGTTGTTGTGTAGGTCAGCCGGTGGACGTGAGGATGAGATGAGTAGCGGACTAAATCTATGTAAAAGGACAGTCTAAGGGAACGGTCATGACGTTTCAAAATATGGCGAAAACAGTGAAAACCGATAGGGGCCAACCCTATTTGGATACCCTTGATTTGTGGATTGTCCTTTTGGATGTGCAGCAAACATAATAATGACAGTCCCAATCAAAATAAGAATCCGATATCAATCACAGCATAAGCTGCAGGAGATCCTAAAACATGAAGGGAAAGCAGGTCCATTCATGCAGTATCGCGCTGAAAGATCCTTTCCTGAAACTTTTCAGGTATGATGAGCCCAGAATTTTCTGAATTATAGGAGTGCTCCACCGATACCCCTACCGATACCCGACCGATACCCCAAATGGATGGTTTCATGGTCCAAGAAGCCAGATGCCCAGATGTGCGTTGGCAAGGTTTTCGTAGCTTCAAGATAAGCATTGCGAATTTAGATAGTCATACTGCGACAGTAA